CTCCAGTGAAGCAGGTCGAGGCATCTATAATGATCTCCCAGAATCGGAGAAAGCGCAGGCTAGTTCTCGCTTCCTACTCATTAAAACCACTACGGTGTTCCTTGAGACAATTCGCTTCCTTAGCATGGGAGCGCTGAGAGATTGGAGCAGCAAATTCTTCAGTGGATACATGCCATCTTCTATCTGTATTTCATTTAAGAACCCCATTAGATGCAAAACCACAAGACGTCACCTGTTATCTTTCTATTTCTGGAAATAGGCAATATTGTTTCTGTTTTCTCTCACGCGCCATTAAAGTATGCTTCCCGCAGTAGACATTTAGGGGAACCGGCTAGCTATCTGTCTCTGAAATGACTTTTTAATGGCCGACTAGATTTGCTCATCTATCACAGGTCTGCGCCGCTCTTGATTCTCCGATAAACTCAAATAGATTCGGTTACTAATGTTCACGCAGCCGCCATCGCACTGTTCCATATGCAGCTCTTTATACGGTGTGGCAGAGAAATTCATCTGAGTGGGGTTTTCTCTTACTGAATCGTTCACTCACAAAGTCAGGTTGCAAAAGTAACAATATGGCTGTGAAAACAGGGCAAGCTCATAAGGGAAATGTTGTAGCAGTTGTATCCAGAAATATGTGGTCTGGTGACATTCTGTCAAAGCCTCAGCAACATTTGAATATTGTCATATATATGTAGAAACCTAGGAGCCTCAGATAAAAATGTTAATATTAAAGAAAAACATTAGACGGAGAGTCTACCTTCATTATATTCAAGGTATATATTCATTTACCACTACTTTTATGTTATCTCGCAGGGTGATGCTGAAAATCAATGCCTGCTGATATCGTATGGAAAAGAGCAGTTTGGATATTCTGGAAAAAATGACATTTTCTTATGATATTGACATTTTTAAGCTTCCAATGAAATGTGTGGTGTCAGTAAGACATTTATTCGACATTGACACATTAAATGATCAACAAATTAAGTGACAGTAAATATATTTATTCTAGTTTACATAAATGCTGTTCTTTTTTGAATATGTGACACCAAAGACACGAGTATTGGCTGCTGAAAATTCAGGTTTGCCAACACAGGAATAAATTGCATTTAAAAATATATTGAAATAGATAAATGTATTTTTATTTGTAATAATATTACCATTTTTAAATGATAGGTTAACATTGCCAAATTTGGTATATTAAGATGTAACCTTTGTCACAGTTATAATTCAGAACTGATCTTTATTGATAATCAATACTTAAAATGCGTCATGTTTTGATAAAAAAAATAATAATAATTAAGGTGTGGTGTCTAGAATGTTTTTTTTTTTTTTTAATGTACGGCAACATATCCTAACTGCAATCCAAATGCAGCATTATAGTAAAATTCTTTTATACATACTAAGATATTTACAAGTAGCACGTCTCATGCTGTTCGTAATACCGTGAATCGCAGAGTGCCACAATCCAAACATTTGCTGACTAAGACACCCCTTTTCCCCCTTTATGGTTTGCGCTGTCAGTTTGACACGGTCACTGTATAATATTTTGGGTGAGCATCTGTTTCTACAGGGCAGGAACTGAGCCATCATGTTAGTGAAGAGGGGGGTGTACGATGGGGGGCTTTTTAAAAATCAAGCCTGTGAAATGAGATGCTAATCAGAGGCAGCAGGAGCATGAATGGTCTACGCGTGGCTGCCGTGAATATCTCACACTGATATGATAAATTATGCTAAATCTTTGACCCTTTGACCTTGGGGAGTCTGGTGTATAAAGGTTTGTTATATGATTTCGAGACCCTACACCCTGTGTAGAGTGAGTGGTTTAAGACTGGTAGAGCAGTTGTTAGCTTAGGGCGAGTTACCGAAGGATTTAGAAAGTGGCACAGGTGGGCATGCTACAGGAAAAGGTGGGCAGGATGGTGTACCGAGATCAATTGCAATGGAGGAGGGGTCTATCAAATTTGAAGTCATTAGCATAAGAAAAGTATGCAGCGTAGTGGTTGCGCTGAGCTGCCCGCACTTGATAACGGCAAGAAGCGTGCCAGACAAACACACACTTAATCGTACATGACATCTCACCAGGTGGTGGCCAACACCACATGTCTTCCCCTCTTTCTATTTCCCCCCCCCTTTCTTTTCGTTTCTTGAAAGAGAATAAATCCTTGAAGCACTGTTTGTCCCTCAGCAATGCTTTGTGACTCGGATCATACAAAAGCTTTGGATTAGGGCTTATTCTGGGCTCTGGTTTCTGTCTTATTGTTTACCACATCTAGCCGGTGCCATTTGCCGAGCAGAGCTAATATGAGAATTTTTAAAACAATTTTATATTAGAACCCCCTGCATACACACTCTGTCACTTCTTCATTATATATGATGGATAGCCCAATTTAAAAAGCTGCTGAGGGAGTCTAATTTAGGCATGAGATTTTTAACGAGATTAAACATTTCACATTCATAGCGGGTAATCGATGCAGACCATTTTATCATACGTAGACCTTGCTGCTCCAGTGTTTACATACAGATTTAATATATCCGTCAGAAAGTAATATACATTAAGTCACATACATTGGAGAATGGCCATTCTTGGTCTGGAGGTCGGACGCTGTTTTGCACTTTATATAAAAAAAAGAGCATAAGAGATGAATGTGAGTAATATTTTAAGTACAATTTAAATTAGTATTCAATTTCCTTCACTTTTCCTTGTCTTGTTCTTCCATTTCTTCCCTCTAACTGTTTGTCATTATTTCTGTAATGGAACATTTCTAATTTTCCTAATCTCTCCTCTACTCCGCATGCAGTCTTCTCCTTTGCTTTTATGGAAAATATTGCAGCGGTCCTCTGTGGCCTGTTTGGCTCGTCGGGCATGATTTATTTGAGTTATGTGTGGATGTCCAGTGTAGAATAGCCCATTGTGCGTAACACAAAGAGAAAGGCCAGTCTCTGCAGCCAGGCAGATGGCACATCCTGGAATCAGAGACAATAGTTCTTTCACCCTGAGTTCTATTAAAGAATGCAAAGAGCTGCATACTAATCATGCATATTTTAAACTGGTGGCCAGTGTTGGACTT